TTTTATGTCCATTTAGTCGTAAGCATAAACGTGCGCGAACCAGGGCGTTATCGAAGTCTACACACGAGTTCCACAAGGAGTGGCAGTCTTCTACTGACCCTCGCCAACAATAGCCTGTCGCTGTGTGGCCTCTCTGAGTCCAGCGTTAATTTGATGATGGAGGTCGCCAGGTAACGCAGTGTCTCACTTTATGCCTAAAGTTAGTGCTGACTAGGAACAGATGATTATCTGAACAGAACTGTAGAAGACGATCACCGTTGTCTGTTCGTTAATAGGGAACTCCGTACGTACCAGCTATATTACTTCTCAGTCTGGCACAACTTCCCTACTTGGGCACTGAAGTTGCCTGCTAAAACGACTGTGTCTGATCGTTTTGCTTTTCACAGCAACCTAGACAGTTTCTCATAGAAATCATAATTTAATTCATCCGAACTGCAGTCTGTTGGGGCGTAAGCGGAGACCATGAAAAGACGACGGGTGACGCCGTCCTTCCTTCTTCTAACGGACCCATTCAGACGGACCGCACACATACGACTATCTACTGGGATCCAGTCAAGAAGGGATTTTTCTGCCCTACACTCAATGCTATTCCTACACCTGCGAGTTCTCGCGAACTAGCTGAGGGGTCTCCTGACACCCTTAAAAAGAATTTTGCAGATTCACCTTGTTGGCCCGGTGAGGTTAAGTGAATAACCACACTCGGGTCTTGTATGCCTGTCTCCGAAACATAACATACATCCATGGCTCGAGATGCCAGAGTTCTTGCTAGTGATGCCTGTTATCCGATTTGGCAGAGGGTCTAGATGTTGAATAGCTCCAATATGAAGTTGGCGACGTGGCTTTAAGAGGCTGTCGAGGATATTTCTATGGCTCTCATCGTTATTTGTTGTCACAGAGTGAAAGTGATTCGCTAGCCTGAAGAATAGAACTGACTGTAGTAGGGAAGTAAGATGATGCTGATGTGGGTAAAGGAGAATGATGACCAGGAAGGCTTCGTGTGCCTATTGGACGTTTGTTACTTCCTGGCTGCCCACACCGTGGAAGTTGATTGGTTTTTCGGGTACCCGGAACAGAAAGAGGGCTAGTATTGCGTGACCGCAGAGCCCAGGGGACAACTGCTTGTGGCCGGTCACACACGGCCTGCATGAACTGGTTTCTGGGATTAGTTCCGTATTAGTAAACTTACCGTCGGTTACGGACCACCGCAGGGTAAGTCGAGAGGTAGAATTGTTGGGGTCAACCTTTTCTAACCCCCCCTCTCCAGAGTGGAGAGACAGCATAACTGGCATGTTGGTCATCTGAGGGAAACACCTCACTGCCGTTACATACCTGTTTCCCAGCAGTACGACTTCGCCCACAGAGCCGTGTAAAAAAATTCTTACACAATGTCGGTAACTGCTTTTAGTCTAACCGCTATCCAAACAACCTTTCTGGCATGGTAGGAACTGCAGGAACAATAGTTCCAGCCAGTGTAGCCTGTTGGGTCATTATGATATGCAAACCCGACCACTACGTCAAGGTATCAGCTATCGGTCGGGGAACGATCAACTACTATACTTTTCCTTATATACAGTACGGTGGTTATTTTTATTGAGGATAGTTTGTCGAAATCGATTTCTTAATTACCTGATATCGACGGAAGAATGGTTTAAAAGCAAGAGGCAGCTTGTCGTGTTCTAGTTTGAGACTCTTTGGCATTGTGCATCCACAACACCATCAGCGGTCGAATTCAAGACGTTTAAAGTACAAGGTGATTATTATTAGCTGTACTAGAACTCAGACCTGGTGCGTTAAAGGGACGAAAAGATACGTCACACAATATATAACGAAAATAGTTACAAAATAAGTGCGGGAGATCATCCAGAAAGCATGTAGGCATGTTTGTCAAAATGATTAAAAGGGTGGCCCATTACTTCATGTCTCTCTCTCTTTGAGAAAGAGAAGAAAGGGGAATTGCAACATGTTCGCCATTGATTAAGATCCACTGGTCATATCTGATAACGCCTCAAACCACCGATTCGAATTACCTCTGGGAGGACACCCAGGAGGTTGTGATGTACCAGTGGATGCTAACCTAATACAGGTATGGTAATAGCTGAAATCCACTGGAATTTACTAACCGTTGGTTGCAGCTTTTTAGACAATACCATTGTTTCTACACCACACTGAATGTGATTCTAGAATTCCTCAGGGTATTGACGCCATTCTCAGATACACGTTTCGCAGCTGCATATTTTCTGTGTCTTTCTAGTCGTAGACATATATGTTCATGGTATATTGCGAGAAGGAAATGCACACAGGTGTTTGAGGAGTTGGAGTTTTCTACCAACGCTCTATATCAACTTATTTGTGTCGGCGCTGGTGATGGTCCGATGAAGCATTATCACACCATATGTTTGAAATTACTGCTGACCAGGGACGGATGGTTATCTGGACAGAATTGTAAAAGACGATGACCTTCGTCACTTTTTTGGTATGAAATTGCATAGGTGCCATCAGTCAACTCTTTTAACTGGCACAGCTTCCCTACTTAAACATTGGGATCAACTGCTAAAGTGCCTCTATGGGCATTTGGCATTTACAATCAAACTAGTCAGCCTTTGACAGAACTCATCCTTTGTTTCGTCGAAAATGCAGTCAGTAAGTGGGGATTATGAATGAAGACATCGACCAATATGCGAATCTTCCCTTCTTCTGAATCATTCACTCGTCTGGACAGTACACAAACGAATGTCCACTGGAATTCAGTCGAGTAGCGAATTCTCTGTCCTATCTGGCCCACACAAACTAACTTGCAGTATCTCCGTCACCCGTAAAGCGAATTTTGTATACTCATAATGTTGGTCAGGTGAAGTTAGGTAAATAACCACACCCTGGTTTTGTATAAGTGATTCCGGAATAAAACGCAACTCAGGTTTGGAATTTGATCGTTCCTATATAATGAAGTTGGAAGAACGGTCTTCAGAGACTGAGGACAGTGTTTTTTTGGCTCAGGTCTCCACTGATTACCATGGAGTTAAAAGGAGATGGAGAACCTACCTGTGGAAAAAACAACAATGCAGGAAGTCAAGAACATGAATGTGAGCGGTGATCATGAAAGCTTTGTGTCGACGGAAGTGTTTAGGCAGTTGTTACTTTGTGACTGAACACACCTTTGAAGTCGACTTCGTGAAATACCTGAAATAGCATTAGTGTTGGGTGATAGGAGATCATAGGGTCAACTATTTGAGACCGGTCACACACAGCCTGGTTACTGGGATTTTATTCGTATGAACAGCTTACTAGTAATCTCCACAGAATAAGTTGGAGTGTACAACTTCTGGGGTGAACCATTTCTGACTGGATGTCTGAGGGAAACGCTTTACTGCCATTACCACCGATTCACCAGCGGTATGACTTCACCCTCAAATATATCATGAACGACTAACACTATCACTGTTATTACTTTTAGTCTATCTAAACTGTACTTTTAGCATTGTAGGACATGAAGGAGAATACGTTCGAACCACTGTAGACCGTGAGGTCATTTCAATATGAGGGTCAGACGACAACGTGTCAAGGCAGCTAGCAGCTGTTGGATGGGTTTAAGTCGCCTATCAATGTGAGTACAGAGTTCAGATTAAAATACGGATCGAATTATCAATCTACAACACTAGCTACTTAATATTTCAAAGAGAAATAAAGGCATATTTTAGCATCGATGATTATACAATACGGATTTATTATTATTGCAAATATTACTCTTTCAAATATGATTCAAAGAAAAAGAATGTCAAGCGATAAATGTATTGATCTACAAGTCTGTTTATGGTGGTGGTTCAATTGTAGGATGCTCGGCAGTCATACAAGTGGTTCGGGTTCGACTCCCTCCTAAGCTTTTCCTTTGGCTTATTCACTGATTACAAGCTCAGAAAAGAGTGTAAGCGTTTAACGTGAGACTAGCAACCCCAAACCGTGAGAACAACACCACTACCAATAGTGAAACGCCAAAGAATTAACTACACACATATCACCTTAGTAGATCATTGGCCACTGAAAGTGGAAGACATGGAGAAGCTGGCTAGCTGTCTTTGATAATAGGTGCCTACATCTTATCTACCGTGTTAGATGGTGATATAATAGGTCGGTGAGTAATATTGAGGTTAGGCGTCGGTCGAGTGCTAGGTAGGGAGGCGGGGGAAATCAATCGACGAGGTTGTGAAGTTACATCGATTGAGATGGTTAGGACATGTGTCACGCATGCTTAGCTATCCATCGCCTTCCTTCCTCGACAATCGGCAATGTTAGCTAACTGACACAGGATGCACAGGTGGGAAAAGAGTTAGCTAGTGGTGGTCAAACCAAAACATGGCTTCATCAGTCAGTGAAATCCACAATATTTAGTTTAAACCAGCGAGCCAGACAGCCACATCGGGAGGTGTAGACTTCCTAGTTGGCTGGTTGGGGTCCTCGGGATGGTGCGAACCAATGAAGGCAAGGCTGGAGACAATTGGTGATATCGCTCAAAATCTTTCACAATGGCGCAGACGCATCCACTCCTTGTGACTTATAATATCCAATAAAAACTACATTGTTCTTCCATATTACTCCGATATTACTAATCTTTTCGCCTCATATCTCTGTTTTGAATCTTGTTTTACTCTATCCTCTTGCTTCGTGTGCTAAGTGAAGTGTGGCAACTCTAACTGCTGCACATCAGTGCAAAGTTCTACGCTGAAACTAGTCAGTCAGTACATCATCATATTAAATTCCTATAAATCTATACACCTTAAAAACAGCAAGTGACACTTATTCTGTGCATAAACAAATGAAAAACTGATGGGCTTTCCTACGGGATTCCTGCTGCATCCATCTGTATAATTACTTTGAAAAAGCGAGAAGAATCAATCTCAGCATATAAAACACTACGTGGTTGTTGTTTTTTTTACAGACTCTTATCAGTTGCATAACCAACAAGCATCTGTGCACTACAATCACATCTTCGTTTGTTTGCATTTTAAGGAGTAAACAAAACAAGACACTTAAAATCATTGTTGGGTAAGAACAATAACAAATTATAAATTATATTAATTGGATGAACAAATGTTTCATATTATATATATTATTATACTTCTACAAAGATAATTTTTGCTGTATTTTTTTTACAACAAAACGATAGAAAGCAACAGAATAAGGGGACTTAAAGAAGTTTGCTATGTGTATGTGTGTGGAGGGGTGGTAGAAGTAAGGGGTGTGTAAGGCGAGGTTAGCTAGTTAACAAACATTATGTAAAGTCAAAAAATAACGAGTAAACTAAAGTGTTGCGGTGAAATAGGATAAAACAAAAAAGGGGAATATTATCAGTGATTCAAGTTGCTATGAAAAGGGACATACATGAGGTGAGAGACGATTAGATTACATTCTAAAGTGACGAAATTTATCACGTCACATCAACAAAAACAATCATTATATAAGGTGGTAAAGGTGATAAAGGGAATTATTCAAATATAAATCAGTAAAAAATGTTTAACAGTAGACAATAGAATTTTAAAAGTAATTCATTAATTCACTAGTAAAGTCAGTCATTAGAAGCAAATCGATGATAGGCTAATCCTAGTAAACTCATCGACTGCCAACTAAGTAGTGTCCACCAGAGTAGGAAACCGAATATACCATGTGAAATAGTCATTCCACGTAGAATATAACTATCCATTATCTGATTAATAGTATATCTAGCCTGAATAAGCATACTTGGCCAAGAAGTGAGATTACTTTGACTAATACTTGAAAAAAGGACTGACGAGGAAAGATTCGTTAGATTTTGAGCATTCGATACAACAGCGACAGGCAGAGTTGTACTATTCGATGACAAGGATGGCTGAAAATACTGAAACGGTAACCATGAGAGACCGGATAAATTTTTATATAAGCATAAAAGGCATAAAGATAGAAAACATGGTGTAATGTATTGAAGTGAGACAAGATTTAAACAATAGAAAATGCTTGCAACTAATCGTTGCACTTCTTTGTTTGATGTTTGACCTGGCTCACGACTGAATTTGTCCAAATTATCTTGTGCGGAATTCAGGTATGCCTATGAAATAAAGGGAAGAAAAGGAGAGAGAAAAAGGGAAAGAGGAAGTTTTTAGGGCGACAGAGACACTTTTGAGCGAAAAAACAAAACACGAAAAGATCAAAACTACCGTTATTCATATAGAAAAGGAAAACGGAAGGCGATGAAAAAATCACACGAAGTTTGTCAGTGAGAAAAATGGCATGACTTTACTGACACCATTAGTCTGAAGAATAGCCATTCATACTGAGGGACGAAAAGCTGACTCATTCACTAACTTACTTATAAAACAACTTTTACATTAGATGACAACACAAATCTTCACACAGGCGGCTGTGTAGTACACTAAGATTTTATTTGGGGTAGAGCATACTACTAGCTGGTGAGTTTAAGTCTTGAATGGTGAGACTTGCAGCTGTGAAGGGTAAGTAGGAATGAAGGCTGGCAGCGAAGCAATTACGTAAATGTTGTCCGACAAATGCGCAGAAGGAAATGGCGTTGAAGTGGACATATGCCGGAGGACACCTTCAATTGGCATCACACGCCAAGTATTGGAGTGGAACCCAAATTGGAGGAGATAGTTTAGGTATCTTAGGTCCAATAATCCTGCGTAGACTGAATGACATTCAGAAGGAACAAAGCCGCAAAAGCTAGGCTGGTAGGCAGATTTTAGTACCGGGCGAGAGTATAGGGTTTGGTTATCTCTGCATCCATTGACAGGTTATCCGACGTAGCCATACTTATCTCTGTCCATCAACTGACATGTTTATCCACCTGAAGGCAGTGTTCAACCTCGACCCTCTTGACCAAGAGGTACTGTGGAAATGACTAGTCATGAAGGGAGTTAGTTCCGTGAAAGTATGTCGCACCAATCAAGGAAGTTCAACCGGCCTACCGACATGCCAGAGTTACCAAATATATCCAATACCTACTTGAATGGGATGTAAAAAACACCGGTCCTCCAACCAACTGTGGTTACTCTAAAACAAAGCAAAACACCAACACGTGATGGAATCAATCCAGAGGTACTTAAAGATGATGACGACTAAGACATTAGGTAGTAGTGTGTGTGTGTGTGTGTGAATCTTAGTCACTGTGGACCGGTACAAATAACTGATTGTTCCAGTTCATGAGAAAGGAGACAAATTAGCGTGTGATAAGAGGGAGATCAGCCTGAATCACGTAGTATCTAAAATTCTAGCTCCCATAATCCTGAGTGGACTAAACTGAATTCGAGAGAAAGAAACCCCTGAAAACCATGAGGCTTTGGGCCTAGACAAAAATATTGTCATCATTATTCCTTGGAACGTAAAGCTTCAGCAAGACACTTTCATTTCATTCCCTTCTCTGTAATGCTCTATTTACCTGGCTCCCGTAAGCTCTCATTTCCTCCTCACATGATCTCAGTCACGTGACTCTCGGATGCCCAACTCGCCCTTTCTCATTCGAGCTCCACTCAAATGATGGCTTGGCACGTAATGTCACTCAACGGTTTCCCCAGCGTATGTTCAGACCACCCACCTCCATTTCCTTCCGCATATATTTGGACAATAGGTTGTCAGACGAGGGTGTGTTAATCATAGTCACACTTACCGGCGTCAAATACTTTACTTTTTCTTCACCTGAGTGTCTAGTTTGACTCGGTCGACCGAGAGGTACTGCAGTTGTTTAAGGATTTCTGAGGAAGGATAATATACACCAATCATACTACTCGCTCTATTAAAACTCGTACGGCTAAGTAAAAAAGAACTTATGGAGAGTTATCATCTGAAGTGATAACAACCACCACTATACTTTAAATCAGGACTTCCCAATACTTGCCTCCATTTTCATTTAGTTTCATCACATATGTATTGGTGGATGTTAGGGTGGCCTAATTTGTCAACTTACGAACTAACTTGTCATCAGGGAAGATTGTGGTCTGCCTAGGGTATGCAAGTGCTATAACTGTCCTGCCTACGTGAATACACTGACAAGAGGCAGAGTATTCTGATATCCTGAGGAAAATGTGTTGTATATTTTCCATGTGAATCACCACTGTTAAATGTAAGGCGATGGTGTGCGACTCATCTGAACTGACTTAGTTCAAACAGAGGAAGTGTGGTGGTAGAGCATGTTGACTACTTCACTTATTTGAGAAGTTGCACCAGTCCTCATGGGCTGATTGTTGACGAAATCTCAACACGGATACAAAAGCCTTGTGATATCCGGTAATCGATGAAACGCAGTGAATACATCTCACCAGTTTTTTGTGTCCTATTTTATGTCTGTGTGGCATTGCTGTTAAAAATGAAAGATATGAAAATTTTAGGCGTCTTTGTTCACACATGTTGGCCACCTATTTCTCGTGGTAAGTAGTATAGCATGATGAATAATAGTGAGGTTAGGTGTGTTGTTGTAAATAGGGAAGGAAAGCCAATCGTTGGGGTTATGAATCTACATTCCCTGAGATAGTAGGACACGTGTTGCAAATGGTGAGTGACTGCCTTCCTGGATGAGTAGTACTGAATGAAATAGGATTAGGGTGGAAGAGAGTTTGGGGTCATCAAGCCAAAACCTAACATCAATCCATGAAGTGTTTGATTGTCAGTTTTACCTAGCCGTGTAGGGAGGTTTAGATTGTCTAGTTGGCGTTCTTGTGATGCCAAGAACCAATGGTTGCAGACTATTGGTTCAAACCTACATCAATGGTTCCTGGTTTCCAGGGGGTATTTTAATTGGTGAAATCTGCACTGAAAGTAATGTCTCACTCTCCACTGAAGGTACCTGATACAAGGATGAATATATATGTTTGGAGTAATAGTAATAATAATAACATGATAGCATTTACTATCCTTTTGTTTATATACATTACGGAGCATCTCATCAGATGAGAAAAGAAGGTAATCAACGCACTTATCTGTATTAAAACCAGCATGCTTAGACTAATTAGTCACTTAATGATCTTCAGGCACCTTGAGTTCATTACTGGTGATATACTCACTTCTATACTATACGATATACATGAATAATATACATAAGAGATCACAATATTCCCAGCATGCATATGAAATTCAGAAACTATATGCAAATTCGTAGGCTTAGCAGTAAGTTGCACCTATTGTACAGTGATGGACAACACTAAATAATTATTCAAATCTTAGCAAGTAATAGAACTAAATAAATAAACTGCAGGTTGAGAGTCAAGTGCCTAAGCCGATAGGTCACAGATCCATGATATTCATAACTATTCACTATCTCGCAATATTAATTTATTTAATGAAGTTAGATATGAATATTCAGATCAATACTTGAACATCATATTACACAACCACAACTTTTGAGTATATATGGCATTAATAACGATTTTCAGAATTCACGTATTTTCTGTTTTAATTAAAATAAGGTCGATTGAATAGGGGACTATTCAAACAGATTTTCATCTAATGATCAGTCAATAGGGATTTTGCGTATTAGTAAATTTATCTATCTCCCAGAATTTAATGAAGTCTGAAAGTTCGACAGATCTTCCATGACACCTGTATATATTTTCAGATAACTGAGTACTTTAGATATCGTATAATTGGTAAATATGTGGCTTAAGAAAATAACAATAGTCTTTTGTTATTATTGGTGGATTACAGACCGTAGTAATAAATTGTGGCACAGTAAAAACGAGTTATAAAAGTAGCATTTAATTCTACACTAATGAAATTCTATTCAAATTCAGTATTAATCCATGATAAACGAAGACATATAGATAGATGAAGAGAAATTATAGAAAGCCTTCTAATTCTATTGCAGCATTACTAATTTTAATGTGTACTTCATTATAATCCAATATCGAGTAGGTAATAGTGGAACAATGGATGGTTATTTTGTCTCAGCTAGAGTGTACACGCCAACAGTCCTTCAAAAGATACAATCCATGAGCGTCAAGTCGCATAGTAAAGGAGTTACGATTCAACTGTCTTGTCAGAATCCAATGGGTGCTGATACTCGACTTTTCTTACCCTTTATAATTGATGATAAGAAAATTCGAGAATACTTCATCTTAATAAACTGATTTCAGTAGAAATAAAGTGGTAGTTGAATTACATCTGAATTGTGAACCCACAGAAAATAACAATTATGCATAAACAAAAAGAATTCCTTCATTCAAATCTTTTTTTAGCCATAAAAGTGTTATTCAACTATTCATAATGACCTAGAAATTTACGCTTTTAATAATTCGAATAAAAACTAGGCTACAGATTATTCACGTACCTGTAAAATCCAGCGAGTAGTGGAGAAACGAAGGAGAATAACCGCTAGACATGTAAGTATCCGGATACTATCCAAATGTTTCAAGAATAAACTAGACAAAATGTTGACGATCATTAAGAGAAAGGGATGTTCAGATATTGAATTACTATGCGTAAGCATGATTAATGACCGAGAAATATGATCAGTGATTGAAGTAAGCCAAAGTAGGATAGGGATTATTGGACATATAAAATTCAGGTGGAGTATGAATCTCTTCATTACTGGAGTCGAAAGTTGTCTAAAAGTAGAAAGGTGTAGAAATAAGTTTATAAATACCTTTGGATATTTTTCAGTTAGTCTAAAGAAAATCATTTTGACTTCGTATAAGCACTTAAATCAATTACCTGGTACACGTACTTCAACTTAATAGGTTTTAGAGAGCATTTAAAGTGTGGAATCTCATAATACTAACCGACTATTGAAGTCATAGTAAGTGGTGGAGGACTGAAACGTTGGACTGATTGATTAAAAGTGTTAAATTTATAGAAACACATAAAAACGTCTTACATAGTAATCTCCTTTGCTATATTTTCTTAACACTAGTAACGAATATTTTTGACGAGACTGCTTCAGCCACTTATGCAGATAGTGTTTCCTGGCATAACTTAAACATTTAACGTAAAGCATACCAGATGTACGCTAGCAATAAAACTGCTAGTGAGAAAAACTACTTTATTTTTTGACGTAATAATTGTCATTTCTAACGAGAAATGATGTGTGGTTTCATAAGGGCAATCTTTAAATAAATGCAATCTTGATGCGGTTTTCCAATGCGCCTGATTATCATGGTTAACACATTTACTACTGGCTGCTTATTGTGCGAGGTAGTCGGAAGACTCAAGTTTTACTCAGGCGTAGTGTTACGAATGACGTATTTATTCATAGAGGATTCCCACCCATACATTTTCTCCATTCTGGAAACAGTTTTGAAAAAATAGGTTAATTGCTAAAAAAAAGCTTACGTTGTGCATGAGAAAATTTCTTAAAAGCAATGGACTTAACTAAGAAAACACGTTTTTCTTTAAAATAAGAAACATAAATGAATACTAGCTCGGGGTCTTGAAGCAGAAAACATGAATCGAAAATATAAGTATCAAATTACACTCTCAACTTCAGATAGTTATGTTCGTGAAACAAGTCACTATTTTACCTTCAAAACAGAATATTGAGTCAGCATCATTCTTGGTATGAGACAACCAAACCAACCAAATGAAACCCAACACTAATTATTGTACTCGTTATATTGCAGGCAGGTGAAATCTGTATTATAGTTGCTTATTTAGACAAATCACAGAAATTATCTTTATTTAATATAATCTAGGTGGAGTAATAGATTTTATAATTCACAGTAGGTGTACAGAAAGATAATTCAATATATCTTACATATATATGTTACGTCAAATATTTCCAAAAATGACATTCCTGCAAAAGTAAAAAGTAATACTTACTTTACAGCATCCAAGTAGATTTTCCCAAATTTTAATCCAGGATAAACAAACAGAGCACCAATTATGCTAGCGATAATGGCTAGGATGAAATGAAATGAGCCCCAGCTAATGATAGGGCTGCTTGATGATGAAACCTCCCCAAAAGTCATATTGCCGTATGCAGCTTGGAGGCCAAAATCCACAAATGTGCCATCAAGAGAAAGAAACAAAGTCGCAGCGATAAGGAAGAAAAATGCAGCTGCAAGAATGAGTATACATTCACCTGAAGTTATATTTGTAGATATGCCGTTTGTAGTGGGCTTGGAAGGACGGGATTCAATTCTAGTGTTACTATTTTGAGATCGGAAATATATTGCGGTCAGAGAAATAAGTGTGCGAATAGTGAACCAAAGGCTTAGTGTTATCCAAACTAGGCTCAAATTAATACGCAAACTAAGAGATACGGGAGAGGGAGACTGTTTCACTGTAGTATTAGTTGGTGTAGTTCGATTTCGACCATAACCTTCATACCATGGGATTGCACAGTTGTAGGCGAGTTCATTAATCAAATACACACATACTGCACAAACAGTGAAGTCAACTAACCACTGATGACTCGAGTACAAAGGTAAGAGGGCAATATCGGCACTAGATACATGAGATTGCTTCAGATGTATGGTTGTCACGCGAGGAAAATAGAAAGTGTCGTAGTTACAATTCGTCCCATTGGAGTTTACGGAAGACGAATCAATTCTTTTCTTCTTGCCTAAAAATAAGCGAGAGAGATTGATATTTAGGGATTTAAATATTCAGAAATCTGATTAACAAATTTTCACGCCGAAAATTCCGTTATCCAGTGGGCGATGCATAAATATAGAACAAAAAAGCAATGTCAGTTTAAATAGCGAAATGAGAACGACGAGAGAGTATTTGGACCATTCTGAAGTAAACAAATGTACATTAATCAATGAACCCATGAACTTTAAATTAAAGTCTTCCACTAAACTATTTTGGTGAAAAGACAGAACCGAAACGACTTCCTGCAGACCACCATATATCATTTCATTCTGGAGACCATGTCCAGACCGAGTACAATTCTTAGAGCTGTGACCTACGGGATTAATGTGCGTACTGATTATTATATTAGTAAAGTTGCTTGAATCTGATAGCCTCTTATGTGACTTGCCGATAAGGCTGTTGTTAGCCTGGTTGATTGTCATTTGGTAGGTAGTTGACTAAGACCGCTATCCCACATTTCTTCAGAACGAGCTACTAAGAAACCTGGACAGAGCATTCGTTTCTTGTCACAATATATAGCAAGCTCCAGTATATATTTAACATGATGTTTATGAGGCTTATATAATTCTAGTAAAACTCTAATCATACTAACTTTCACAGTTCTGAGTTAAACTCTTAAATGGCCTGTGAAATATGCAGAAACGTAATGAGTGAATAAAATGTTTGGGGAGTCATTACAGACGCCTGTTGTAAACGCAAACATAAGGACCATTATTTAATGAACCCTAGAAATCTGCAGGAACTCATGATTACAAAATAATACACATTTCAAAAATCTAAAAATTAAAACACGCTGGAATTACTTCAAGTAGTTGTAATGATCCAATCTGACACGGCGCTGAAATTATTTCAGGACATTCGTCACATCTATGGTCTCGGCATTTAGTCACATAGATCGTTAAAAAACTGTGTGCAATGCCTAACCATAAGGTGCCACAACTGCTATCAAAATGGCATGGAAAAAGTGACATAGGTATATATCAAAATAGAATGAGTTTATATGACGAAAAACAAGTAGTTCAGAGCTGAATGTCTTAAATTATGAAAAAATTAGCCACTGAGAAAAGGAAAATTAACAAAAAAATCAGTTACAGAACAAATAAAGTAGAAATAATGTTGAAGGGCAAAAATTCCAAATTCAAACACTTGTTTACCTTTCGTTTTAATTTTACAATTGCCGCTAGCTTCCAGCAACTGCTCATCGGTTGGGACAGCATATCTCAAAAGACCTGCGACCAAAAGCCGAGTAAATGAGTAGAAAGAAATAACTTTTGACAAGACACTAGCTGCCACTAATGTTGTCGCCAGCTGCAACCCAAGGACACCCATTGAAGTAACGCATCACTTAAACTACGCGCTATTCCATGATAAGGCTCCAAAATCCACAATGTAATATTACTTATACGAGCTAGGGAAGACCGAATTGATATCTTTGTGACCATGTATATGTCGTAGGATGAAAGTCTCTGATGTTTGGTACATTTCTGCCTTGTCTGTGTTTGCACTCCACTATCGTATCTTCGGTTAACTCACAGGTCAGTTGTGCTGGGTTTAGTCATATATGGTTTGCAGCATACGGTATGTTAAGACCGCACTGCTGTTGGGGGCAGAGCTAATCTTTTCATCCGTTAGTTGCCTGGTGTGGTATGAAGGAGAGACGGTAATATAAATAGAAGGGATAGAAATGATGCTTCGCTTCCCCTGCCTTAACAATTTCTCTGAATCTGTATGGTGTTAAAACAGTCCACATAAAGGTCTGCAGACAGCTTCTTTGCACTAATTCAGAAGAGATGGTAGAATGTCACCAGAACTTGGTGACTTTCCTGGAGTGAACTTGTGGTGCTTCGCTAGAACCACTGCGGGATTAATGCGGAGTGTGTTCACAACGTTTTCTCACAGTAATTTGGCAGTGCTATTCTTATGACTTATGGAAGCAAAGCCTAAGGTGCCACTTAGTTGCCTGTCAAAGACCGAACTGAATGTTTCATTCGTTTCCCAAATAGTGGGCTGTTGGACATACAAACATCATACAGTGAACGCCCAACATGAATTGGGATGGTTTTTGATGTTTACCAAGGGATCTCCTAGAAATATTTTCCTGAAATGAACTTAGTTCACTACGGACTCTTTTGGTACATCGGTTCCTGATTAGCAATTAGCCCTCATGGTCAGTCTGACTAGTGGATAGTCACCATCTACACCAATTAACTTGTGGAATTTGACATGTCTCACTACTGTTGTGATGATAGCATCCTAGGTTGTAATGTGGCTAGTGTGAATGATCACTTTTTTCCAAGGTTCCTCTCGTGACAGCTCAGCCAAGCCTGTTGGCCAATCTGCATCAGACAGAAACATCTGCGCGTTTTGGTCAGCTTGGCGATAGCAGAGGTGAGCAGCGTTTTCATACGACTATTGTCTTTCAGAGGTATTTTGTTTACGCCTTATGCTTGCATTAGGAGGGCTAATATTCATGCTGTTTCTCTCAGGGAATTTCCATCTTTTAAGTGCAGGGCTAGTTTCTTTTGCTCCACAGAAGGGTGATCGGCAGATGTCACCCAATAAATGTTAGTTGTGGCTGAAAGTGAAATGGTACCGTGTCTAGAATGGGTGTAAAGTGATGGATCTGCTTCTCATATATATCTGCGCTGCTTATCAATGTTCAGTGTGATCTCTATCTTGCCGAACTATCGTCTGACCTCCTTGTTGGCAAAAGTACACGTTAGTCAGGTTCCTGTCAGCATTATTATTTTGAGGTACAGGTGGGACTGAAGGTTTCTGCATTCGGCTATTTCTCCTCCAAAATCTTCCCTGCTGCTATATAGGTGATTGATGGTAGATTTCACAGCCACGCATTGGAGTGGGATGACTGACACTCTGAAGGCCTTTGTTGGGGAGTTAATGTTCGAACTGGTTAGCAGATTCTTGTGAAAACAGCCTGCTGTCGTTTTTTTCCTCAGTTTTGATTAAGACACTTAGGCGTCTCCCTCTCCCACTGTAGTATAACCAGAGCATGAGGAGGCATTGTACCTTGATTTTCTACCCCATTGGGGTCCGAAGTTAGCTTTCATAGCACCAAATATGTCCACTGATTTGATCCATGGCCTCATACTTTTGTTGGAAAACTGCAACCATTCGCCCAATTGAGCTGAATTTAGTAGGTAATAACCGTGGTCAGCTGTCGATGTGGAGTGAGCTGCGCAAGTCAGTCCCCACATGAAACTATCAACAGCCGCCTGAGAGGACAGTCATCCTCATTTTTACAAGTCACCAGTGTGTTTCTCGCAAGGGCCACTTGTATCTAGCTTCGCAACACCTCTAATGATGTTAGGGGTGAGGGAATTCGCTTTAGTAACTGTCTCGCCGTTCGCCCATTGCCTGTCGCGTTTTATTTGTATATTATAGGTTCTCTCCACGGCCAGGATTTCGTAGAGTGACCATATATTCTGAGAACTATCAGCAGAACCAAGAGCTGCACTTTACGGGGTGGTTTACCTTGAGGTGCTAGGGCACTACTTTACAGTATACACAGTCCTGTAGGCTGGATGATTGTTGATGCACGCAGCGACGTTTTACGGGGTGGAGCAGTTTGATCAACTAACCTTGGTTACTTGCATTGCTTTTTAAGGTCGTTAGCATCGGCCTGCTTCAGAGTGTTACTGTTCTGAGCCTCAATCCCAAGACCATATTTACTAGCTGATGAAAGTGGTCTGTGCTGCTGTGTTGCTTGCACCACCATATCTGTAGGGTTTATACAAGTAGAAGGTTCACTGGATGTGTCATCAGTTACTCTGGATTTGTTAAGTATGACAAGTTTCTTAATTAGCCGTCATTAAAGTGTTTATGCTCCTAGTCAGGTAGGCTGTAGTATCTCGTTTTAGGTTTTCGGTTGTCTTTGGTGGTGCACTTGTTTTGTTCGATGGGAAGATACCCGAGACTTTGGCACGACGACAAATTAAGCATAGGTACCAGAACAATGGGCGTGAGTTATTTCGCAAAAGTCATAAAATGGTTCCAGTGCTCCTTTTTCACATCTGCGGTCTGCCCATGATTTGTACGAAATGTCATTCAAAGACACAGTCGCATTTGAAAAATACAGAACGACGTACCTAAAAGTTGCCAACTTTCCGAAAGACACACTGGAGGTTTCGTGATGTCTTGAATGTTTACTTTAAGTTTTTTTAAGTGCGACACTTTCGCCTCCTACGGGGATATAATATTCTGCCTTTACCACCTGCTTTGACCTGTACAGTTTCGTTAGGAAGCTATATGCCAGGACTACCAAGTATAAAAACTCCACAATACCTTATCTGGCACAGCTGTTATGTGATGAGAAAACTGTTAGGCATGACACTATCAACTTACTGCGGCACTCTAACAAATAGTTCCTATTAGCTTTTGTTCTCCTTTCTTTGTTACTATTATATTGTTGCTCATATTTTCTATTACAGACTAATTTTATATATCATATCCTGTGGTGCATTGTCTAAATATGTGAATGCAATGCTGTTCTTTTTTATTTCTTTTATTTCTCTTTTCTCTTTTTGTTGTTGTTGCTTTTTATTTTTAAATCTTTATAAAATTTATGAGGTAATTAGATGCAATATTGTAATGAACGCTGAAAATTCCATACCTGTACCACTAATACTGTTTGGAATAAAGCCATTATTATTATTACTAGAGTGTGGCAACACTGGCATATTAAGAAGGAAAGGACTATGTGTTTAGGTAATCAGAGCCGGGAATGAGAGAAGGAGTTAATTCCACCCATTTATCATCTCCCATAGCTGAAACCATAGCGATGAAAACATAATATGGCAATGCAGTTGTTGAGGCGAGAGGCTACTGACAGATTGCCACCTATTGTTAAGAATGATTACATTACCATAAAGGAAGTAGCAACAGAATATTTGGCTAATGATATGAGAAATTGAGGACAGGTAGAGCATACGGAAAAGGTTCTCCACCTTACTTTGAAATTTCACGTTATTTGACTTCACAGCAATCATGTAGCAAACCAATAAGCCATTCCCATTTGATCGAGCGAAGAAGAAAATACTGCAAAACTGGCAACTGAAGCTTGGCAGTTTCTCGTGAAAGCTGGATTTACCGTACAGAAATTGGGCGAGGAATTATTGGTTATATTAAGTTAGCCGGATAGGAAGATCTGGCATGATTCACGAGACAGGCCTTTTTCTGTCAGGGTAGAAAAGTCGCACCAGTACTCAAAGAATAACAATAATAATTTATATTTCGTATAAACTGACAAGTTTACAAGAAATACATGCCATGTTTACAGCCACGATCAGTAATGTTATAAATCACAATCCTGAAGTATCATAAATTAATACCTTTTCAAAAGTTTAAATTGCACGATTATTGTACAAGCAGTCAGAACAGGTTCTTATAAATGTTAAATTGTAAACCCTTCACTAAGGTCAACATCAAAGTTGAGCCACAACCCAAACTTCGTTCCTTTTCTTGATGATTGTTATGGTCAACCAGTGAACCGTGTATATTTAGGTAAGTGCTATGCCGCCACTTGATTAAAAGTTATTTCAGGAGAAGGAGAACGTCCTGGGAAACTGCAAAATGGCACAAAATACAATTATAAATAACGCACCATTGGAAGCACATATACAAGATATATACGACAAGAAGCAACAGAGTCCTTGGATTGCTAGAATACATTTGCAGTGTTTAACGCTGACCATACTGACCTTACCATGGATAGTTATTCTCAAACATGAGTATCGTTGTTATGCTTTTTTGCTTCATTACAGAGTCCAGACTTTAAGCGAGAGAAGAACGCGAATGAAAAGAATAAGTTTCAGCTTCAATAAAGGCCTAGGTAGTTAAGATCAAATAGAGTATAATAGTGCGTAAATGAAAAGATTATTGTGAGGTAGGTAAGTGATATTTAAGTGAGGAGTGAATTCAAAGATCTGGAAAATTAAAAGCCGTAAAACAAGCTGACCTGTAAGATACCTCATGAATTTCTGTAGGGCCCAATGGGTAGCATCTTGACAAGAAGCTGAGCAGGCTTGGAGATGTTAAGAACAAAAGCATGCTTTATAGTTCAGATCTGTACAACCCTTATTTTTTCCTTTTTTAGTAAGGATCCAGACTAATGTTTACTTCTCAGTCTGTCAGAAAATGCATGCTGCTGTCCTACAGATCGTAACGATCCACATTTGTGACCACCAACATATCTGCTGATCAGCATACGCCACCCTCCCTCCTTTTGATGTTAAGCTCTGAGATTTTTTTATTTTGCAATAACTGTGGTTTCAAATTTTAAGGGGATAAGCCATTGAGACACAAAACATGCATTTCTGCATGATTGTCCAGCTTCCGCTTA